CATCGACTGATTTGTACGCACTTACATGAGCGGACTGGTGCGGACCGAACTTAAGGGCAACTGACACACAAGTCGGTGATCATCAACTGATTTCGTATCCCGTACCCAGTTTAGTGGTATGTTCACACCTAGGAATCACTTCATCGTTGCTCGGAATCTTTGTCTGTCCATTTCACCGCCTCTTCCCCAGCAATGGTACTTGGTTGACACAGCATATAATCGAGCAACACCTCAGTATCTTCTTACGATAGTTGTAACTGTAAAGGTCGATAACACACAATTTCCTACTTAGCGGACTGTAAACGTGTAGTCCACAATCGCAGATGGCTGTACAAAGATATATTTAACGGATCAAGTAGATGGAACAATGGTCTATTACGGCCAAAAAGTAATGCTTAACAAGTCACGTGGGATGGAAATCATTGCAAAAAGTGAATTGCATGATAAAGTGAAAAGCGTTTTGGCGGACTCACCATGGAGTTATGTAGGATAGCAGAGATGTTCGCGTATTAAACGTATAAATCCATAAATCCATCTGTTGGGAATTTGGCAAGACACCCGTTTTGGTTGCGTTTTGTGGCCCCTGCCTAACGAGTCATAAAAGGAAAAGTAAATGAGACAGTGCATCGTCAACTCGTTTTTTAAATATCGCCAGATTGGGAGCAGAGACGACATAATTAAGGAGGGCGTTCCAAGGCTGGGACTCGCGGAGGGGAAGGAAATTTCTACGGCATTCAAGCCGGCTAGATTGTACTTTCAGTCTCAGAGGATGGACCACTTAGGTTAGTGTTGCGATTCAATTCCATCAGCGGACGGGCAAATGTGGTTTGGGTTCTTCAGAATTTGGTAAACCATTACGAGATACCCCCCCCCGCGCAAAAGCCCGGTATCGACTGAGTACACCGCGAGGACGCCCACCTTTACGCGGATTCAAATTTGCACCGCAAGATTACGAGACAGGCTAGTTACGTGTAGGCTACGAGTAACAATAGTGGGTGTGGTATTTGCTACTCTCCTTCCCGAAAGGCAGTGCATCACCTGGTGGTCAGATCTACGATAATACAGATCACACACCAAGAAATCCAGAATACAGAAGATTTACCTCTTGGAGCAGTAAGCTCCAAGCTTATGTGCCGTCGGTTATAAACTCAGGAGAGCATCTCAATGTCTTGTGTTACACTTTAGTCATATTGATCAGGCGAAGCATAGCACCGCACCACTTTCAGTAATCCAAGGAGGGGCTTAACGTTACCGTGCCGGGTAACGACACTTTGTCTTTATCGGAACCGTGCTTCAGAGCATCTTGATCAATCTCCTCGGTACGCCACTGAGTTGCGTCCAAACTTGGTCAATAAGTTGTCTTACGGTATTTGAGGGAAACAATCCATTTCGCAGTACCGTCAACATTGCAGTGTGGAACAACCTACTTCTAGTTCAGTCACGCAACATTAACCTCGTTCCACTCCAGTCACATCAACCACTGCGACTTGTGGACTTGATCATTGAGAGCTCACCTACCAACCATCACATGTAGAACGAGGTGGGACTCCCTATTTTCCTAACACTAGCACGAATCCGTTCGTGAATGTTCTGCTCCTGGCAGAATAGTACACCGGTCACCCACTGATGTTCACTACAATGCTAACGCTCACTCATCTACTCCGCGCAAACTTCTCTGTCGATCTGGTTTCGGCTACAGCAACTGGTTTGCATCTCTACTTCTCAGGTGTACTTTCAATTAGCCTTTTTCGGGGCCATACAAATCGGGTGCTTTTGGTTTGGTGAACCCTCTAGCTCATACTGGTTGCAGTTGAGCCTAACCGAGCCGATTTGCTGTGCACACTCAACACTGAAGTGTTATTTCCATCCGGACAACCAACACAACAACAAAATGCCCATTGTCTCATTCAGCCACGATCGTCACTTTGAGTGCGAATACATGACATGACTCTTTCGCTCACTTCGAAAGTGGCATGGCGATCTCTTCCACGGGTTGTGTAAATAAAGGTTGGCGACTGCGTGAAACTGTGAGCCATCTTCTATTGGTGGCAGATTCGTGATACAGCCAAGTTCGAGTAGGAGACGCTGAACAGATGCGATTCTCTCCAACTACAGCTTTTGTTGAATAGTAGCGTTTGCATGTGAGCCGCCGGTGTGCCTGTTTCGAAATTCTTTCCAGAAACTACAAATCATTAGACTATTGCTCTAACAACAAGATGTGTAAACAAAGTTGAGATTTGTGGAATAGTGTGTGCGTGCTCATTCACACTTCTTGCGCCCTATTTGTCCTCGCACATAAATTAGCTGCGCAATGGAACGTACCACGCAGGTCACTGCAGGGGTTTGTATTGTGCTTATGACAGACGAGGAGGATTGGAGTGGCACCTATCACAAAGAGCAACATGGGATACGTCGATATCCTGTAGCCCTGGCACAAAGCTGACATCAAATCCAGCCGCCTAGACCACGTACCGAACTTGTTCAACTTATCAATCTTTTTCGATTGACTTACCGACTTATTTGTTTGAGCATGTTGAACTCAATGTAAAAATTTTAATCGTTTGCATTGAATTATTAAAAAACAGCGTATGGCAATTGCGCTGCAAAATTCTCGTCCATCTAACAGACGAAATTGGTTCCGTGCGTAAAAGCCACTGCGTGGTGGTTCCAGTTGATAACATTATGATCCAACCGGTGTGCATGTCAACTAAAACTGATGACACATGGCGGCGCGGCAACGTACTGGCTGCGATATCTAGGTTTTGCTTATGATTGTGGTGACATCGACAAACTGCATTCATATAAACGGGTTTGCCACAGTATCGGTTCTCAAAATGTTTAGAACAACATGCGACTATGCGAACATTCCAAAGGATGTCTGACACGATCAGGGCGGGCTTAAATGGGCGTGCCTGATGACAGCTAGAGGGAAGTAGGATGACTTCTCTCTGGGTAACCGGGGTGAATTTCACTGAAAGTGTGGGCCTTTGTGCTAAACTTAGTACCGTCAATCAAATACTTGCAGGAATTGTCTGATTTGGGCAGCTAAATTATATATTGCTCCGTACGGCAGGACGATCCCGAGAACATGCTCGGTAGGCTGTACCATATGTGGGAACGAAGCGCGATGTGGAAGTGTAGCAGTACTACTTTTATCTGATAACCGGTGTCGTCCCATCAGTCCGATCGTTTGATCAGGGTATACTGGAGCTCACCACCTGGAACTTTGGTCGGCTATTGCAACGGATAAGATCCGGAAGGGGAAATTCGCCTGTTCTTAGTGAATGTGGACTTATCAAACTTGGAATACGATATAGTCACTATTAATCCGACCTTAATGTTTACAGAGTGGTCTCGAATAAGTATAGCTATCGACTATAACGAAGTGATCCACGCGAGTAAAAATACGGGAATGACATCTAGGAATATGTGGAGGATCAGCAATATTGAGTCGCACAAGAGTACGTATTTACCCAGATTGAGCAGAAGTAGCGATGGTGGAATAAACATACTGAATTACTGGGAGGTACTGACAAGTAGGGCACATTTTGCCCATGTAGATCTAGGGTACCCTAGTCGTGGATGCAGACGCTTATCCTGTTGCTCTCATTGGTCCTTAAGCTGTCAGATGGTCGAAAGTGGAACAATAGTTTCCTCGACAACAGTTTCGACAAAGTACTCATCCTTTCACACTCCATGGTACCTGCCTCGCGTAGTCCGCTTCAATGACATCCGCCGGATGAGTCGCACGTTGCTACTGCGGCACTGGTTGTCCAGCTCGTGTGCGCCGAATCGATACGACCAGAATACCGAATGAATGCCAGCAAAACGACTGCATACCAGCAGCAGCTGCGCTATCTGGATATGGTTAAAATGAGTCTACCACGAACTGACTCTACAATACAGTATAGCGCAGACAACAGTGTAACCGCAACATGAGTACCGTCGCCTAGGTGCACGAAAGTGACTTATTTGTTGGGTACAGAAGCAAGTGGCGTTTTCAAGCAGGTACTATCTCGTCGCAATTGCTTAACTGGCACCGCGATGCACGCGGCCGCGTGGGTCTGTTGAGTCGCCATGTGATTTGGAAGAAGCGACAATTTAGTTGAACAGGTGTGCTGGACAGCTGGACGACACTGCTTGCGGCTTCATTCACATCTCTGAATCGACATCGTGATACACGCCGTGGTGCGTCCTCACTGCATTTAGACCTCACACTTGCAGTTTTGTTGTATGCTCACCGTCTATTACCCCTCCCTCGCAATTTGAGCATTATCGTGACACCATGTGAATGCTAAAATCTTACATGTGTTAGCCCAACGCCACTGTCTTGAATGAATGCTCCAGAAGGTGATTAATCGTCACTGAAGTGAACGACTCGTACAGGTCTCATGACAACTGTGAACCCGTGGACTGTTTTCACCACCGAACTGTTACTCGGTGTAGCTATAGAACATGTTAATCCAGTAACGTCATGGGTGCATTGCTGAATCCTACGTTGACTAGGCCATGTCCTCCGTATGCCTGTTGACCGGTTTCTTCGGGGTGCATTCTACGCCATGGCTGCACCAAGTTGGGTGAAACCGCGAAGTGGCCAGTCCATGACATGGCATAGTGGTATGAAAGAATTTACTGAGAGGCTTGGTCAGGCGGGTGCGTGCCGTCTTCGTGGATGGGGGCCTCGGGATGCTCCAAACCAATGGTTAGAGACCGTATCAGATATGGTGCCGTCAGTGGCGTTCCTGCATTCGCTTTCTTGCATCTGGTTGTTAATTTCTGTCCCGTTATATTTACTTAAACACACTTCCTTGCTTCCAATTTCTTTACGTTCTAGTTGCCTGTAACCCCACTATCTTGCCGTTGTTATTGTTAATCTGGCGATGTGAGTCATGGTGACTGGATCCAACGCACTTGGATGCTCAGATCATAGTTGATCAACTGAGCTGAACCGAACGGGTGCATTGATTATCCATGATGTTAATGGCCGTCTCTATAAAAATATGCAACATTGTGTGCCCGAGTCCAAGAACACTAGTTGTGTTTCGACTATCATGGTAAGCACTGGCAGTAGTAGTGGTAGTAGTCGTATATTATCGACAGTCAATTAAACGGACAGAGCCAACGAAACCATGGAGATTAGCAGTTAAGAGGCACAGTCGCCGCGTCATCATCATCGTGGCACAGTAGTTAAAGCGGAACAACATACTTCAGCTACTGTGTAGCTGTTTTATGTTTGTTCACACGCCACATTTTTAATTGTTTACTGTTAAACTCCTGAACCTAAGTATATATATATATATATATATATATATATATATATATATATATATATATATATATATATATATATATACTCAGCAATCCAGGAAATGAACATGGGCCATCAAGAAAGCCATGAGAATCAAAGAGGCGTGCAATTCGGCAACAAACAGAAGATTTTTGGTTTGTTTTTCACACGCCAATTTTTCACCTTTGTCATTTCAATATTTGAGGTATTAAACATGTGAGCCAGTACATTGCTATACACAGTTCTTACACTGATTCCGATTGCTGGCCATCTCTTCATGTGTGTTAAGCTACTAGCACTCCTCATCCTTGCGTTCAGTTCAGTTCAGTTGATCAACTATGATCCGGGCACCGAAGTGCGGTGGATCCAGTTGCCACGACTCACACCGTAAGAACAACAATAAATAACACCAGTAGGATAGTGGGGTTGGGTGCCAATAGAATATAGCGAAAATGAAAGCAAGCACGGAACGAAAATTACCGACCAGATGAAAGAAGCCGGATGCTGTAACACCGCTGACTACATGACTGCACCATGTCTGACACGGTCTCCAACCCTTGGTGTGGACTGTCCCGAGGCCCCCATCCAGGAAGACGGTACGCACCAGCCTAACTAAGTCTCTCGGTCAATTTCTTCAAGCTTATATGCCATCTCATGGGCTGGCCACCTCGATGTTTCGCCTAACTTGGTGCAGCCATAGCGCACAATGCCCGCCAAGGAAGGCGATCAACTGACATGGGGAGGACATGGTCTAGCCATCCTGGAAGACATACAGATCCAACGGCGGTTAGAGGCGACGTCAGCGACTTCATGTGCCGTCGCCAAGTAGAAGGACGACTACCAAACCGTCGCCTTTAACCACCGCCTTGACGAACGAATAGAGCGCGGTGCGGCAAACGCTCAGTTGCCATGTGTAGGTCGCAACCAATCCATCTCAATTGGCATAACAAAACCAGTTTGTTTAAGGGGATATTTGCTGCAAGCATCTGCCTGCGTTCCGGGGCCCCAGTCCTGAATTGGAAACTTTGGGTTACAAACCCAAAGAGACTATCGAAACACAGTTATTCCTTTAAAAATTTTCCTTTCTGTCTTAAATTCCACCTGTTGGTACGGTTTATCTCATGAACCTCATCCAGGAAGATGACCCACACCACCTCGACTCGTTTTTGTAGGTTTCCCGACGCACATCCGGCATGTCACTAATGAACGATCTCTGGGTTTCCCCTAACTAAGCGGGGTATGATAAACACTGTGATCCGAAGCCGCTTACTCTCGGAATGCGTGTGCTAGCCATCGTGTTCCACTGTTGCTTTAGTTTGGCACCGAAGAATTCGCCGTCGATCCCTAGCTGGTAGGCCTTAATATCACTAGTCCACTTCCCCTACATACATAATACCTTGCAGGTACTAGTGCTCGAACACAGGCAAAATCCCAACTTCTTCGGAGCGTTGTTTACAGGATACTGTGCAAATTGTGATAAGTACTATGTGGGTCAAGCGGGGAGAAAATTGTCCACAACGTTACAAGAACACAAAGGCGCTTGTCGAAACCATAACTCGTCATCACTGGTCTGGACACACGTTGATGAAGCGCACATGTTTACTTGGGAAAGAAACGGAGTTCTTTGAATAAGGAGAGCCAAGAAAAGGAAGAGCATTTCTCGAGGCGTGATTCTCTACGGAGAATTTAATGAACCTGCGCATTGACTTAGATCCGTTCTACCATCAATTGCGAAAAAGAATTTACGCGGGTCATTCACCACATGAGTCTAAAAAAGCGGTGATTGAACTGCGAGCTAGCAATGGTCATGAGACGTGAACCGAACTGGCCAAGTCCAAACGCCACTCGCTCGTTGGTCAAGGGTCAACAGACCATTCATTTTGCTTACTACGCACTGACGAAGTCACCTCGATTGGTGATGAAACGTCTGCAACAAAATAGTTAACCTCGGGGAATAGATCAAAACCTGAACAGAAAAGCCGAGCTACAAGTATTCCGATTTATTGCCAACTATTATGGGTCGAGAACACGCTTAGTTGGTGCATCATTATCATTACACACGTTAGCTGCAGGTGAAAAGCAACTCAGCTGTTATGCCGCAATACCTTAGGGTCGATTGTTCCTCTTGTTGCTTGCCTCAGTTTATGTTGCATGTTCACGAGGTTTTCGGGTGCTGGGATTGGCGGATACAAAAAAAAGCATCGACCTATAAATGTTGCAGGATTTGAAGGACAACTCAGGACAGGGTGGTTGCTACAGCATGTATCCGAAATTAGCTCTTGCACTTAACATTTATGGTCTGTCAAAAACACGCAGACCTGATGTCCCCATCCGGTTCATGATGAACAGCGTATGCTTCTCTACATACGAGTTCGCGCGGTATCTTCTGGGCCTACTTCAGTCCTAGCTTCCCGGTCTTTACTGTAAAGGCGTCGTGGCTGGTGACTCTATTCATCCGTGAGATGTGGCCTGATTGGTTAAGCGGAAGTTGCAAGGTGTGGTGCATTGCTTCTCCTGAGGGCCAAAGCAGCAGTGATACAAGTGAGGCAGGCTGGTAGGCTTGACCAACCGATCACGATCTAAGGGCACAAGTACTGTAGATAATATACCAAGATCAGAGAGTTCTGAGTTAATAGACTAACTTGTGGACATTTTTCCTTATCGCGGGTTCGTTGCTAACCAACTTACTTCATATGCTAATTTAGCGAAGAGTTATGCCGCCGTATCTGTATGCATTATTGGATTTGTTTTATTTCATCTTGTCGTTCCAGGGGATTGGCTGTTGCTTGATATCCTCGGTGTGGCTGCGCTTGATGTGCATGGTGACAAGGTGCCTACCTGTCTATTATTCACTACCTCGTCCATACTGGCTCCAGAAGACAATTGGTCGTTGCTGGAGGGGACGGAGTGCACGGTCCTTGTGGTCGTGCTACGCTCGAAGAGTGGTTCCACGCACACATTGTGGAGCGAACTACGGTCCAGCCACCGCCTTGTGTGTGATTGATTCCCAGCTACAGCGTGCATTTGTTTGCCTATGAAGGAATGTGGACCGGCTCCGTTGATGAAACGTGGCACCCATCCACATGCCTCCCGATCTTATTCCTTCGGGTTTACACTGGATATGGGGTGTGTGGTTGGAGCTGTTGGTGGTGCAGCACAAGCCACCCATGGTCCCTCTGTAGGCGCAAACGTCCTGTAGCTGGCCACAGTGGCAGGCGAATGCGAAACCGGATGCCGCCAACCATATATTTGGCGGGAGAGCCTGTGGTGCGCTGACGCTAGTGGTGGCTAGATTCTGACAGATGATGTGCCCACTGCCGCTACTGTTGTGCCATGGGCTAATATCCTTGACGCCTCGTGGCGACTGCTGGGTGAAAATTTGGTTACGCCCTTATCCCTGCTATGATCCATGACACCAATCCGCATCAGTCAGTGAACTGACCAGGTCCTCGACCCGCTGCCTTTCGGGTGTACATTTAATCGAAGGCTTTGGCTGAGGACCCGAGTCGTTCTCCTGTCAGGTGTGGGCGCCCTGCGAGTATTCTACTGCATCCTCTTCGGAGGTTAGGAAGTGGTCGATGGCCCTCTTCCCGTAAAACCTAGCCATGGGAGACAACAGGTCTACGGGTTATAAGCTCACAGCTCGCTTGGGATAGAGCACGAGCGCCACGCATTGTCTCTGACGGTGGCAGGACACCTCCGGGTGCTCAGGGGTTGGCAACTTCCCGCCTCAAGCCAGGTAGCCTCTGGTCAAATTGGTGCAAACCCGATAAAACCTGGCCGTGGTCGCAGGTGCGTTTCATACTACAGTCGCAAAACGTATATGCATTGTTCCATATCTCCAAAGGCTGCGTGTGACGGACCTCAAGAAGATCCCAATCTGTCTCTGCAATCACATTTCGGAGCTCGTTCTGCTCCCCACTGCTTTTTGGGTCAGGCTATTGAGTCAAAAGCTCCGGGCGGAGTCCCTCAGGCAAATCTACAGGTCATCTGCTGCCGTATAGATCTGGCTATTCATCCAAAGGCTCCGGGTGGAGTCCCTCAAGCAAACCTCCGAAGCACAACCGCCACCTCGCGTGCGATTACCCACCAGTGCAATCGTATGCCTGCACACAAAGCACTCAGCATCGTGTGCTGGAACGTGCGCACACTAGTCGAACAACCTTCTCGTGGTGCTAGCTGGGTGATTCGGGTGTAATCTGTTCCAACAAATAGTTCGGCAGCGGTGTTTCAAGACATGGTGGATTTTCTTTTGGCAAGCGTTCTCCCTATAAAAAGCCACAAATGTCCGTTTATCCACACTGTGACGTGGCGAATGTGGCTCGTCACTAATTAAAGTCACTGCCCCGTGGATACCTGGATAATTACATCCGATCCACGGACTTCAATCGTCTATTCTTACATGGCCGACGTTGTCAAACAGTCGCAAATACAGCGGCCCACTTTCAAACACAAGCTACAAACTTACACTTACACACAGTTACCCACACTATCATGCACACATCTATGGCAAACATCTTGTATTTTTGTACCTTTTGTTCACGCTTTGTTAGCATAACATGATCATGCCTGTACAGGCGTGCCTCGCGTTGCCGAGAATAAAAAGGATCTCTAGTGAGCGTCCCCAGCGACCCACTGTACTGGTCGCGATAGAAGTGGCGCGGTGCAAACTCGATATTGCGGCGCTTAGTGAGACTCGACTCGCTGAGCAAGGTAAGTTGCATGAAGTAGGTGCTGGCTACACGTTCTACTGGGTGCGCAACGCCA